GCAGTGGGGAAGTGGGAAGCAGCCGTAACGTTTTCAGAAGCTCTTGTGTTGCTTCCACAGGATTTCGAAGTCTTTGGAGGTCCAGGGTGGTCTCCATCGGCTGCGCCTCGTCGGGGAGCAGTGTGAGGATGCCGTGATGGGGCTGCCCGAGGCCAGAGTTGAGTCCCGGCTGCCCAGCGGACACGGGGGGGGCAGAACAAGATGTGAGTGTGGCCCTGGCCCGAGTGGCGTGGGGACGGCGGCAAGGAAGGGGGAGGGAGGTGAAGAAAGGGGGACCTGTGCAACCCGCATGTCCTATGGTGTTCTGGGGCCACGTTGCCGTCGGAAGAGTATTGTGTCCTCTCTTGTGTCCTGTCCAATCAAGTTCGAAGGGGAGAAGAAAGATGAGCGTCCTCGTCCCGACGGGGCCTCGCCGCCTTCAGCACGTTGACTGGCGCAAGTTGCAGCTGAGCCGCCGCACGGGAGTTTCGGAACCCCCATGTGCGCTCCTGAGATGAGGACGAGGGCGAGGAGGGGGGAGGAGAAAAGGTTTGCAGTAAGATAACCGCGTTTGTGTTTGGATGTCTCAAGTGGTCAGTCTGGTTTGCGAGATGTGACTAACCGATTATGTTTGGTTTAGGGGAGACATGCATACACTTAAAGAAGGATGAGACTATGGAGATCATGGCAGGAGGGCGCACCAGGAGATCTATGGAGTTTGGCGGTCCGTTAGGCCGATGGTCGCGACCGGTTCGTCGCGCGTGTTATTTCATTGTGTTTGTTATCATTGTGTTTATCTCTCTCTCTCTCTTTCTCTGTGTCTCAGTTTTTTATTTCTCTGTTTCTGTTCAGTGGCGCACAGGATGTGGACAAGCTCGTCCTGGAGCAAGCCATCCTGCATATGGTGCAGATTGCTGCCTCTCTCTCTCTCTCTCTCTCTTTCGTAGTCATATGACGCTGCTATGCCTCCACTTGACATTGATGTCGGCGGACTTGTTGTTCGTTGCTTCATACTGTACATGGTCGATTTACGTCCAGAGAAGATTCCGCAGAGTCGCCCTGCAGACAAAAAGCGTATTTGCGTGAGCTTCATAAGATGAACCAGGTCCGCGCCAAGTATTGTCTAGCGTTGTGTTTTGACATCTCACACTCGTTCATAGTGGGAGTCTGCATTGAAGTCCTCACGCTGACCATGAGAGCCAGCAAGACCCGGCGCGCTCCGCGCGCCAGGGAAGGGGGTCCAGCGCCGATCCGAGAAATCCGCGCGACTTTTTATGTTTATGTCACTTTTTGTTCCCCTAGGATATCCACAGGAGGTCGGGGTTCCGGAGACGGGGGTCAATGCAAACGGGGGTCAGCCAGGGCACTGGATCTCGGAGGATCCTGCGAAGACCCCCTCTGGCTGACCCAGGTCAGCGAGCCGCGAGGTGGACGCGCATTGGACGCGCGTATTGGCTGACCTGGGTTTGCGAGGCCAAGCGTTGTAGATTTTGTTCCTGCATTGTAGTTTTCTCGTTTCCTGCTGACCCGGGTCTGGACTGACCCTTGTCAGCAAATCCCGGAGGTTTGCGCCCCCCCCCCCCTCGGCTACGGATAGCCATATGAGTGCGCCCGCCCACCTGGCTACAGATACCCACGGGACGACCCGCAGCGTACCTAGCAGAATGGTCAACCGACATGAACAAACAGCTGCTGGCTGCGATGATAGGCTTCGGCAGTAACAGCAAGTGGAAATCATGAAGTCCAAAATGCACTCAGCGGCTATGAACACTGCCGCGAAGTCTTGCACGCGCGTCATATCTCACACGCGCACAAATAAAACAAAAACAATGTCCCCGAAGGCCGCGACTTACATATACTTTTGCAACCCCAATCTCGAATGCGTATTCAGCGTCATTCACACTGCTTCAGACAGTTTGGACTTGTTACATTTGACATCGTTACCGCCGTCCTGTGGAGATGGGCAGGAGGGGATTGTGCGACCGGTGGCCGCGGTCAGGATTTCGATTGATGTCAAGCAGTCTTGGAGAAGGAGAAGGAGGAGGAGGTCGAGGGAAAGAGGAGGAGGAGGAAGTCGAGGAGAAGGAAAGAGGAGGAGGAGGAGGAGGAGGAGGAGGAAGAGGAGGAGGAGGAGGAGGAGGAGGAGGAGGGGGGGCGGGAGGAGGAATGAAGGAGATGGCAGGATCCGTGTCTCCCCACAGCACTTGCCCAAGGCAGACATCTCGCACCCGCTACGGCCAAACGCTCTCCATCGAGAGTGGACCAACCGGGTAACCGAGGACAGACGCACGATGTGAGTGCGAAGGAAGAGAAGGGGGAGGATGACGACGATAACGACGATGGCGGTGCCGACGAAGACGACGAGGATCAGGAGCGACGAGGCGAGACGAAGCTGCGGAGCGTTCTTTACACCAGTGCCATGCCACTGGCGAGGAGCTGGCAGCAGCGATGATGCTCGGCCGAGCTTGGGTCGTCCTGGTTTCTTGAGATCTTGCCCTGTTCGACATCTTCACCTGCGAACGAGCTCGCCTGGGGCGAGGAAGCCGCAGGAGAACCTCTGATTGGGGGGGAGTCGAGAGGAGTGGCTCCTTGAGCGGCGGGGGTCCCCGAGCCCCTCGGGGCGAGCAGGGACCCGCGGAGGGGGAGCGGCGGGAGGCGCGGATGGACCCATAGAACCACCGCCAGTCAGATCTATGTCTGTCAGTACACTTATCTCATATATATATATGAGAGAGAGAGAGAGAGAGAGAGAGAGAGAGAGAGAGAGAGAGAGCGTGATCCACCGCCGCTTTACTGTCGAAAATTGCCAACCTTTTCCTCTGGAACCCGGGGGTCTCCCCCCCCCCCCGCCCTTCTACCCACCCCAGGAAAAACTCCCCCCCCCCCCCCTCCCCCCCCCCCCCCCCCCCCCCCCCCCCCCCCCCCCCCCCCCCCCCCCACCCCCCCCCCCGGCCGGAACCCCCCCCCCCCCCCCCCCCCCCCCCCCCCTTCCCTCCCGGCCAAAACCCCCTCCCCCCCCTCCCCCCCCCCACCCTACCCCTCGAAAACCGGGGGGGTCACTACGGTTCGAACCCTCAACCCCCCCCCCCCCCCCCCCCCACCACCGGATCCGGAAAACCGGGGGGGGGTCACTACCGGTTGGACCCCCCCCCCCTCGAAAACCGGAGGGGGGTCACTACCGGTTCGACCCCCCCCACCCCACGCACCGCCAGCAAACGACTCCCGGTCCCTACCACCGCTCGCATCACATCCCCCACTGTTGTTCCCAGCACCACTGTCCTCACCACCACTGTCCCCACTGGTTCCACCACCGTCCCTATTGTCCCCACCAATGCCCCCACCACTGTCGCACTGTCCCCACTGTTCCCACAACTGTTCCCACCACGGTTCCACTCTCCCCACTGTCTCCACGGACCCAACCACTGCCTATCCCCATTGTCCCCACTGTCCCACTGACTCCTCCGCTGTCCCACTGAGCTGTCCCACTGTTTCCACCACTGTCCCCACTGTCCCCACCACTGTCCCCACTGTACCTCTGTCCCATTGTCCCACCGCCGTCCTCGCCACCGCCTTTACCAGTGTCTCCACCACCATTGTACCCTCCACTGTCCCAGTGTTTCCACCTCATTCCCACTGTCCCCACACCACTGTCCCCACCACCACCGTTCCCACCACTGTCCACTGTCCCCCCTGTTCCCACCATTGTCCCCACCACTGTCCCCACCACTACCGTCCCCACCACTGTCCCACTGTCCCCCCACTGTCCCCACCACTGTCCCGCTGTCCCCTCACCACTGTCCCCACCAACACCGTCCCCACCACTGTCCGCACCCCCACTCGGTTTTCGAGGGGGGGGGGGGGGGTTCGAACCGGTAGTGACCCCCCCCCCTTTTCATGATGAGCTGGGGGGGGGGGGGAGGGGTTCGAACCGGTAGTGACCCCTCCCGGTTTTCCGGAAAGCCCTCCCGGTTTTCCGGAAAGGGGGGGGGGGAGGGGTTCGAACCGGTAGTGACCCCCCCCGGTTTTCCGCCAGCAGCGGTAGAACACGCTCTTTCATCTATATATATATATATATGTATATATATATATATATATATATATGCGTATCTCTCTCTCTCTCTCTGGGCCACATCTTCGGTCACAGGAGCGGGAGTTGTGTGTTGGGAGGTTAGGGCAGGCTCCGAGGAGGAAGGGAAGGTAGGGGGCAGTGAGGGAGGATCGAGAGGAGGGAGGGCGAGAAGGGGAGCGGGAGCGACCTCAAGGGCGACCTGTGCTTTCGTGGGGACGCCCTCGCCCTCGGCCCTCGCCCTCGGCGCGTCTTCCCATGCTGCGGAGGCCGGGTCGGAAGCTGGCGCAAGGTCGGCTACACGTAGGAATGACCCTTCGCCAGAGAAACCTTTGGTGCGGGCTCACCAGGGTGTCCCCGATCGCTGAGCGCGATGCGATAGTGGCTGCTTGCGCGCTTGGACTTGGCCAGCTCGCGCCCCCCGTTAATCCGCGCACTGCTGGTCACTCCTGCCTAGGGTCAATCTTGCGCCTAGCCAGTAGGGGCGGGACTGGGGGGTTCGCAAGGCAAGCGCCTTCGTTTTCCAGCTCTGGCATCCCCATTGCGTAGCCTCCGAGGGCCACCGGCCTCGGTATGAAGAGCCCCTAGCTGCCCTGATACGCCCGTGCTGAAGCGCAACACGTTCCTTGCTCAACCCGTCCGTGTTAACGAATTGCGTGTTGTGGTGCTACGTGTCGGTCAACGTTTTGGCGAACGCATCGCGCCCGTCCTGCGTTTTCGGTCACCGTGTTGAGCTCCGTGTCAACACGCTACGTGCTGCGTGTTGCGTATCGAGGTAGCTAAGGAGCAGCCGTATCGTGCGCCGCACGTCGGTTTTTGTTTAACCTTGGGCCCCTCACGAAGCGTCCGTTCTGCGGGTGCATTGGGCGCAGTTCCTTGAGTAAGAGGAAGAGGTGACACGGCGGTGCGCTCGGTGGAGGGCGGCGGAAGTACAGACGAGACGTCAGCTTGTTTGGTGTCGGAGCTGTTTCCGGTGCGGGCCGCGTATCGGTTGTGTTCAGATGTTCCAGGAGTTCTCGTGCGCCACTGCGCGTTGTGCCAACTTTCACTTCTTTCGCGTGCGTTGGGGCATTGCCTCGGTACCCTCTTGCGTGCGCATCGTCAGCAGCCAGTCTGGCACAGCACAGCTCCGAAAGGGACGCAACGCCAGCGCTTCACTGGCAAAACTGCATCGATGTGTTCCCGTCGTCCGACATGGTTGTTGACCGAGCTGGACGCATCGCGGAGCTGGTGCACGGGCTCACGAGGACTGCTTGGAGGGTCCAGAACCGATGCCGGATGGCCACCCTGAGAGCCCGACTCGAGGGCCCCGGGACCACCAAACACAGTTTCCAAATACAGAAGGGCAAGCCACATGGGCAAGACTCAGCCGATGATGATTATCGCTTGGCCTCTGGAGGGTTTGTCTGGCTCTTGTTGGGCCCCCCCACCCAGCCTTCCGGTTGCCCCGCCGACACCAGATCCAGGACAGCGCCATCGAAAGTGCCATCTACAGCTGGATACCACCTTCTCAGAGTAGCAGCAGATCTATTTTTCGACGGCGACCCAAGCCTCTTGAGGCTCTTCGGCATCCACGTAGCAGAAACGGTAAACTCATTCCCTCTACGCATCATCCTCATTTTGTTGTTGTTGCTCTGTCGCCCTTCCTCCAATTCCGCATCCTCCTCATAATGATCCCTCTTCCCCCCACTCCCCCACACAACCACCATCCTCCCCCCTCTGTCCTTGCTCCCTCCCCCCCTCCACCTTCTGCCTACCTCCTTTATCCTCCCTCGCATTTCCTACCTCCTCCTTCCTTTCATCACTGATCCCTTCTCCCGCCGTCTCCCTTCTCACTGCCACTTCCTTGCTCCTCATTCCCCATCACCCTTCTACCTTCCCCATTCCCAGGGTAGTCACTCCTATCTTTGACATTACCCCCTCCATACTACATCTTCCCACCTCCCACCTCCCTCTCCTCCTGCCTCCATCCTTCTCCCCCGCCTCCTCCCAACCGTCCTTATCCCTCCCTGCTAAGTTTTTACTTTCTGTCTGGCTCACTCTCCTGCTTTCGCTCCCGCATCCTTCTCATCATTATGCTCCTCCCTCCACTCCGCCTCGTCGTCGTCCTCCTCCCCACGTTCGCCCCCCCCGTCGTCGCCGCTATCCCCACCCCCCGTCCCCCCTCCCTCCTGGCCAGAGAAGGCGAGGACGGAGGCGGGCAAGCTGCAGAAGCAGGGAGCGAGAGCCAATCGTCCCGTCCTCCCCTCCCCTCCCTCCCCTCCGGTCCCCCCGGTCCCTGGCCCCCCCGGGCCGTCCGTGTCCGCCCGCGCGCCTCCCCGCGGAGTGCGCCGCCGCGGGCCCCCTCGGCGCCCAGGAGTTCTTCGCGCTGGGCGACATGGAGAAGTCGGCGGGCTTCGAGCCGATCGTTCGCCCGCCCGCTCCGACGCCTCGCTCGCCCGTCCTCTCTTGGGTGAGGAGGTCGAGGCTGTGGACGGGGAGGGGGGGAGGGCGGAGGAGAAGGAGGACGGGGTGGAGAGAGGCAAGATCACGGAGGGGGAGCAGCAGCAGGGGGGAAGAACAGGAGAGTGAGGAGATGCACGCATACCTTCGTTTCCTTCTTCTGCTCTCTCTCTCTCTCTCTCTCCCTCTTTCTCTTTCTCTCGTTCTCTTTCTCTTTGCTTCTCTCTGTGTCACCCTTTTTCTTTCTCTCTCTCTCTCTCTCTCTGTGTTCATCGCTCTCTTGCTCTCTCTTTTTCTCTCTGTCTGTCTCTCTATCTCTCTCTATAGATTTGTCCCAATGGATCGCTATATCTATACATTCATACACATATGTAGCACTCTCTCTCGCTCTATGTATATTAGTTTATATGTTTCTCTCTCTCTCTCTCTATATATATATCCCTCTCTATCTCCCTCTCTCTCCCTCTCTCTCTCTCTCTCTCTCTCTCTCTCTGTTTATCAATATCTATATGTGTCCGTGTTGCTTGCTCCCACCGTGTTTCTGTATCTCAGCGTCTGTTATGGGACCACTGACGACCTGCCGGCAGCTCTGGGGCTGCTGCAGAAGTTGACGGGAACGAGTCGGGGTAAAGGGGCTGCCCTGAGGGTGCTTCGAGGTCTATCTGGAGGTCAGGGCCGCCTCCCTTAGTTCATCCCCCTCTTAGGGGATGGGACTGGTGGCGGCGCGCACAAGGAGGTGGCGCGAGCGGGGTGGCCGTCTAAGAAGGCGGGGGGGGCGTCTTAGAAAGCATGGGGCCCAGATGCTGTGTCCTCCTCCTCGTCCCCCTCCTCCTCCTCCTCCTCCTCCTCCTCCTCCTCCTCCTCCTCCTCCTCCTCCTCCTCCTCCTCCTCCCCCTCCTCCCCCCCTACGCCATTTCAGTGCTGCACGGGGGGGAGGGCCCAGAGGTTCCTAGAAGGCGTCTTGGAAAGGTGCTCACTCAGATTCCGGCGATAGTGCGCTGAGGACACCCTCTCTTTCTCGATGGCCTCCAGGAGATCCCCAACTATGAGCCAAAGAGGAGCCCAAGATGCTCCCGAGCAGCTTCAAAGGCAGTTGTCCGATTTGGCAAGTTATAGCCCAACTTGAGCCAAGACCTAATGATTTGACGGTTGCGTGCAGGGATGAACTTTCCGAGGACGGTTACATACGCCTATTTGTACAGCTTCGATATGCCAGAGTTGAAGCACGAGTACCGCTACGTTGGGCTACTAGTACGACTGCGGCGTGTAAGGTCTGTAGGCCCTCTACTAGCACGCCACGCTTCGGAAGGGGGTGGGGAAGGTGTTCTGAGAAGCCGCTGCCCTCTTAGAAGCCCCATACCTTGATGGAAGGCCACCTCCCCCGCGCCACCCCTCTGCGCGCACCGCCAATCGAGTACACGGCAAGGTGACCCTTCGCCAGAGTGACCTTTGGTACGGGCCCATTGGGGTCTCCCGACCTTTGCACACGATGCGACAGTAGCGGCCTGCCCGCTTGGGTTTGGCCCCTCCGCGACCCCCCTCAAGCCGCGCACCAACGGTCACTCTTGCCCAGTGCCACTCGGAGGGCGACCAGTTCATCCAGATCGATATCTCCCGCGACGGGTTCATCTTTGAGAACGTTCTTCCGGACGAACTCGTGCAGATGAAGTTGTCCGAAGAAGTCCGCCCAGATGAACTTATCAGCGGACGATCTCGTCTCCGGACGAAATCGTCGTCGAAGTCATCTTCGGGTGAACCCGTCCGGAAGAAGCTGTCCGAACGAATTCGGCTGGATAATCTCGTCTCGGACGATTTCGTCCAGATGCAACGGCTTCGGATGAAGCGGTAGGTTTGCCCTCCTGCGTGCAGCCGGGCCACGTCTGGGGATGGGCGAGCACCCCGCACGCCGACTGTCCCAGTGGGTCGGCGCATCGGGGGCAGACCCGTCGCGCGCGCACGATCTTGCGGGAGCCCGCACCGGCGGCGCCGCGGGCAGGCGCTCTACGACCGGGAGAGGGCGCCTTCCACCGCGAAAGGCGCCGTGGGGTGCGGTCGGGAGACTTCTGAGAGAGCGGCTCGTCAGGCAAAGGCAGACGACGGGCACGGCGACGACGACGACGAGCCTGGCTATGGCGCGTCGCTCCGCCAGTTCTGGCCCACCACTCCACGGCGCGACACGCTGTCCACTTCGCGACTCCCAGGCGCAAGTGCGCCGAGCTGCTCCCAGCCTCCCGGCCCGCGGAGCGGAGCGACACGCCGTCTGCTTGCCAGGTACAGCGTGTCGCCGGGGCCGCGACACGCTCGGCAAAAGTTCCTGACCGTGGTCTCTCCGCTGCCGCGAACGTGCTTTGGCTGGCGGCGGGGTTCGGGCGATACTTTTTTCCGCCGCGGCGCTGTCCCCTTCACTCTGGAATCCGGGGGCCGTTTTCGAGACCCGGGACAATCAAGATTGAATCCAGGGAGAACAACATGGCCCCAGGGAAGGGGTCCGCAGTTTTGGGGCTGCGGATTGAAAATCACACCGTCGAAATAAATTCGCGTGAACTCCGCGGAATCTGGATCCCTAATCGATGGCCTCGGACACTGCAATGACGCGCACGATGCTCTGAAGGGGATTCTAGGGTGGTGTAACGAGATTAGCGAGTCCATGGATTGGTTTCTTTCCAGGGTATTTAAGGATGAGACTAGTCAGCCCAGCGTTGCTCGAGGACCGCATAGAACAAATGCGCGAACAGACACGCACACACACACATAGTGTATTGGCCGCGGCTACATAATCCTTTTTCTGAGCCCGAGTGGTGCGAATCAATTCCGGGCTGCTTACTTGAGATTTTGGGAGTGGTCAATTTTCGGCGTTGCGCGTGCGGGCGTCAAAGTGTACCCATGCGCGTCTCAGCCCAATGTGTTCATGTCCAGTACTGTTGGCGTGTGGCAGATTTATTACACAGGTCCTTCACGCCAGGGAGGGTGGTGAATGATATTGAAGCGCAGCATGACCGCAGTCGGACGCAGCGCTGGCGCAGTTCATCACATCATTACTGTTCTTGCTGTTGTACGCAAGATTGAACTAATGTTGTTGGATTGGTAGCTGCATTATGTTGGGCTTGTTCGGTTTTACTTCGCAGCGGCGTTGACCGTGGGCCTCGTTCTTTTGATGATTACAACCAGCAGACACCTGTCAATCGGAGTGCATGGATTGTTCTGAGTGTGAAGGCGTTGGGCCGAGTAAGCATTGAAGGGACGTTTAAATCCAATAGAGGTTGAATGCCACTCAGAAAGCAGGCAGTCATAGTGCGCGAATATGCATGCCCAGCGACACGGAAAACAGCTAGAGAGATGGCAACCAGAACATTGAGAGGTTGCCGAAGAGGATTGTAAGGAGAGCGTGGAAGAAGGGATTGGGGAGAGAGGTCGAGAGACATAGAGAGATCATGCATATATGCACATGTACAAATAAGGATAGAGAGGGCGGCGGGGAAGGGATGAAGTGGCGCACAGAGGGTTATGTCAAATGAAGGGTTGCACATACACGTATACACATGTATACATTTAGGGCGAGGGTGTGTGTGAGAGGGAGAGAGCGAGATAAGTCGGATAAGAAGAGAAGACAGTTCAAGGGATCACCAGCGGTACACGTTCAGAACGCATGTGCATACCGCTTGTACGTAAAACATATGTGTGCATACATATGCATATGGATGTGCATACGCATGCGGGACAGACTTGATGGAGTGCATGAGAATGTTTGGATGTGGGGGCGAATATGGACTCATCCAAACGCCGTAGGGTCAGAGCTGTTGGGGGCGCCGACGGTTCCCAAGCGCGCAGGCCAATTGGGATTCCTGAATTTCGTGGTCCGCTACGCTCCTAATCATAGCTGCTGTCTTGTGGATCCGAGTTGCTCGCACCCTTGTGTTGCTACACCTTGCAGTGCCCCGAGGGTGAGATACTGGTGTCGGCGTAACAGAGCCACCTCCTACAGTGCATGCAGCCCCTCGTTTCCAGAGTGTCAAGCCCAAACTGGCACGCGTTGCCCAGCATATGAAGTGTTTTGTTACTTGTATCGGATTGGGTTGAACGCTCGAGATCCTGCCAGCACATATGTCATGGTCGCCTTCGCGTGTAGATGTTGGGTGTTGGTAACCAGCTTCAGTTGGTAAGCCCAGGAGGAGCATTTGCCCCGTTGTCGGCCATATTCGTGTGCCCATTCATGTTGATCTGCCTTCCTGTTGCTATAATGCAGAAGTTTGCGATTGATCAGGTCACGCCCATGTGGAAGGCCATGTCGCCTGTAGGGGGCTTAGTTTGGGCTGCTAGAACGACCGCCACTAGTTCTGGGAGCCACCTGGATGATGTCGACCGCGCATGTTGTTTGCACGAGTCCCTCCGTCATGCTCCACACGGCCACTGCCGCTAGCTGCGTTGACGTTGTCTCCACGGCCGAGGAGCAGAGAGAAGGATGAGGGGAACGAGAAGGAAGGACCAGGAAGCTTTCGCCCAAGTCGGCGACTTTTTTTGCGTCACCACACATCGCAAGAGACCCCGCCTCATGCCTGCCCAGCGTCAAAAAAGGACCAGGACGCACCAGCAAAACATCGAAGGTCGGAGGCTGCGCGGTGAGAACGAGCTGCCTCCGCGCAGAGAACCGGCCTTGGTGTCGGTTCGCGTCGCGCGCTCAGGCAGGGCGAGTCTGCGCGAGGGTGATGACGTGTTGGCGTGGCGGGGGCCCCTGCCTGCAAAAAACTATTCGCAGCTGTCCCCCCAGCTGTCCCCGCAGCTGTCCCGTGGTCTGTCCCGTGGTCTGTCCCGTGGTCTGTCCCGCGGTTGTCCGCGGGTTGTCCCGTGGTTGTCCAGTGGGTTGCCCCGTGGGTTGCCCCGCCGGTTGTCCCCGTCGCGTAGGCCCGCGGGCAGGCAAGTGGTGTATTGTGTGTCAACATAAATTGCAAGATTGATCGACAGAGAGGCCGATCTATAGATTGATGTTGAGATCTGTAGGTGGATATCGAGATCGATAAGTGGCGAGATCGGTATAAACATATACATCTATATATGAATATACAGTGAAGTTGACAGACAGAGATTGAGATCGGCGGGTCGGAGTTGTGATGAGAAGATAGCGAGAACGAGAGATAGATATGTTGCGAACCCGATCGCATGCCAATCGCAAACCAGAGGCTGCGCCCATCCCCTCTCCCCGACCTCTATCACCCGAAAGGTGGCCGATCACGCATAGAGAGGGCGCAGAAGTTCAGTGTCTTTATGTGCTCATCTGTGTGTATAAGCAATAGCATAACTTATATTCCTGTGTTTGGGCGTGTGCGTGTTCGTGAGTATGTCCGCCCGTGTCTTCTCGGCGCTGGTTTCTGTTTGTTCGTAGCTTGGTCGTCACAGGTTGTCCTTGTCTGTCTGGTTCCCCCTGCGTGTGCCATACTGTCAGTGCCACGACAGCGCGGGAAATAAATTCGGCGCAGTGCGCGGGCGACAGTTGTTCACGTTGCTTACAAATTGGTGAGCCCGACTTGATTCATAATGCCTACCCCCGACAGCTCCCTGCATCGTGCCCGCATGCCCACGAATTCGCGGCAGTCCCGCACATAGCCCAACATTGATTCACAGGCAGCCCAGTGCATTGAGCGTAGTGTATTGGGTCGCGTTGCACCTCCTGCGGTTTCGCGAAGGCCAACACAGCACGGTGGAGTGTTATACAGTTGGTACGTGTTGCTTATACCATCGCGCGTGCACCCTCTTAGTTGCAACCCCGCACGTACTAATCACTCAAGCGCTGTGCACCATGATGCAGGGCAGCCATGTGCGATGCTGTTTGCTTACCAATGAAGGCCTGCAATTTAGGATTCAGCGGTGTCCACTGTAGTGGATGTTGCGCAATAGGCCGTGATGCTGTGGACAAGAACGGAACACTAACACTATGTATCGCGACGCGAAGAACGGTTGCGTTAAATGGAAAGGCGGTTGTTTATCGCCTATGGTGCGTAGCTTGGCACACAATGCCGAAAGTATGTTTGCTAGGTGGCTCCTACGGGCGTTGTGTGAACAAGGCGCATGCTTGTTGGAGAGCTCGGCGCTTGCTTCTGAACTCTTGATGTATGCTCCTAAGCCCCCTACTTTCTACATCGCTGAGTGCACGGGCACGCATGTCACCAATAGGACTCGAAGTTTTATATTGTGTGTCTGCTCGACGTCCTCCTTGGGTGTGGTGCAGTCTGCTCAGTGGCAGAGCGCGGGCGGCGTCACCGCCCAGCCGATCGTTGTTGCAGCCTGCTTCGCTGGCTGCTGCGGCCCCTGGGGCTTCGCATGCACGGCGGCCGCGTATGGAAGGCGGCCAGCATCGTGACGTCTTCGCCTACAGCGGCGCCCAAGCGGCTTTCTCAAGGGAATTCCACCTTAGGGCGCATCGATCGTGGTGATTGCCAGGCTCCGCGTCTACCGCGATGCGCATCGTCTTTTGCCGAAGTACGTTCGAACGCCTTGCAGATTTCAACTCCAGAGGGGAACCGTTCGTCCAACCCTGCAGCCTGCACTTGCGCGCACGCGTATGCAACGTCTCCGTGAATGCGCATGCGCATGCATGCAACCGTGAACTTGAACACGTATAGCATGTGATGTTTGGTTGCCAGATGTATTGTCATGGTGTCATGCTAACGCCCATCGTGCAGCGCTACATCACGCAGTCCAGCATAATCCAACCCATTGCAGTAAACCGCGTGTGTTGCATATCAGGACAATGAGACCTATAGTTGCATCGCGTTTGCGATGGCTGGCGCCAGCGGCGTCAGTTCATCCGCTCTTTCTCGCCCACTCAATAATCGGTGCTTTGGGCGCGGGCGACCTTTCAGCGCGTCACCGCGCGCGCCTGCCGAATAACGTAATTGCGTCCATCGCGAATTGCTTGGTACTAGGCACTGGTCAGTAAAACCTTGCAACAAACAAGTTGAGGAAACAGTGATTCGACGGCCTCTCAAGCACACACTAACAGCCGCGACTGAATTTGCAGAAGCGCCGATCGTTCTTTCGATGCCCCCGCGTATTCACAGCGACTTCTACAACAGACCCGTTCAGCTCTGGCCAAGCAGTAGAGGAACGTGAACACCCGACCGGAGGGAGGAGGAGGGAGGAGGATGAGGCGGAGGAGTGGGGACGGGAGGGAGGAGGACAAGGAAGATGAGGAGGATGAGGCGGGGGAGGGGGAGGAGGGGGAGGAGGAGGAAGAGGAGGAGGAGGAGGAGGAGGATAAGGAGGAGGAAGGGGAGGAGGAGGAGGAGGGGGAGGAGGAGTCCCGCAGCAGCTCCATTTGTCCTGGACCGCGGCCTCCTGAACGTGCTGCACAGGTGTGAGCACTTGGCTGGCGTGTTTGGTTCGGACGTGACGAGATTCGGGGGATCTTGGCATCAGATAGTGGCATCGGCCCCGAGGATGCCAAGAGCTATCCGCAAGAAGATGTCGGCTGGGTGCTCTCTCAGAGTTGGTAGTCTTTTTGGGGGCCGAGGTCTTCGACGTCTCCTGCGTGGAGCCCGAAGCGTGCCTGCTCGCCAACGTGTCAGCTTGGGAAGCGGAGGCCGCGGCACCTGGTGCGCGGGAGCAGCGGCGCGTGGAAGCGTCCGAGGGGTCGGCGGTTCACGGATAGGGTCCCGAGGATCGGAAGGGATCCACGGGTGGATTTGAATTCTTCGAGGCACCTCGTTCTCAGGACCTCATCCCTCAAGACCCCACCTTTGAAACACCGAGAGAGAGAGTGAGCAAGCGGCGCACACAGGGGTGTGTTGCGAGGAGGGCGACCTTCTGAGGAGGCGGGTGACTTCTTGGAGGGCAGGGGGTTTCCCAGAAGGGTCCTTGAGCTTCGAAGAGGTCGGGAGGGCTTCTGACAAGCCCCCCGCCTTCTCAGAAGCCCTGTTTCCTTCTCAGAAAGACGCCTCCCTCGCCCGAGACATCTGTGCGCGCCGCCAAGTGAGCATGGAGAGCAGTCCCAGCACGCAGAAATTTGAGATGCGCTCATACTCCACAATGCCCCCGCACACATCAGTGTTAGAGTTCTGCTTCTCGGCTGAGCGAGGGAAGGTATTTCAGCATCCAGGGTGCACATTGCGGATCGAGCTACTTTTGCTTGAGGATCGACCAGCCTCGATGAATGTGGGGAGGGGTCCAGTGCCAGCGGATATGGTCCGTCCACGAGCGTCCGAAGATTGTTCCCCGAACGATGTATGCACTCGGTGTGTCCTGCCTGCGCTGTTCCCCAATCAGTTTTGCACTGCAGGGGTCCGAGCGGAGACTGAAAGAGTGAATGAGTGTACGGCGCCAATATCGGTAGGCAGCCGGGTTCCCGCTTCTGGATTCCGCGGTTCCCGGTTCCAGGTTCCGGGCCGATTCGGGTAGGCGGCCAGGTGCCAGGTCATTGTTCTGGGTTCGGAGTTGCAAACGGCCGAAGGTTCCAGGGTTTTCGGTATTCCCCACATGTTTCGTAGGGTTTTGGTTCCCAACCATCCTGTGGTGTTGGGTTCTTGTTTTGAAGAGACAGCGCCCCGCGTCTCCTCTCCTCTCCTCTCCTCTCCTCTCCTCCTCCTCCTCCTCTCCCCCCTCCTCCCTCCTCCCATCGCCGTCATCATACTCATCGTCATCATCATCATCATCATCATCATCATCATCATCATCATCATCATCATCATCATCATCATCATCATCATCATCTTCATCATCATCATCATCATCATCATCATCATCATCATCATCATCATCATCCTCGTCATCATCACCACCAGCATCATCATCGTCATCATCATCGCCATCGCCATTAGTTCCCAACCATCCTGTCATCATCACCACCAGCATCATCATCGTCATCACCACCAGCATCATCATCATCATCATCATCATCATCATCATCATCATCATCATCATCATCATCATCATCATCATCATCATCATCATCATCGCCATCGCCATTAGTTCCCATTTCCGCACACCCCTCACACGTTTCGTGGCCCCATAGGGAGCTCCACCGAAGGCCCCAGTGGCAGGGTTCGCATGCCGCCCCCACCCCACTTTGGCACACCCCTCACACGTTTCGTGGCCCCTAGCTCCACCGAAGGCCCCAGTGGCAGGGTTCGCACCCCACTTTGGCACACCCCTCACACGTTTCGTGGCCCCATAGGTAGCTCCACCGAAGGCCCCAGTGGCAGGGTTCGCATGCCGCCCCCACCCACTTTGGCACACCCCTCACACGTTTCGTGGCCCCACAGGGAGCTCCACCGACGGCCCCAGTGGCAGGGTTCGCATGCCGCCCCCACCCCACTTTGGCACACCCCTCACGCATTTCGTGGCCCCATAGGTAGCTCCACCGAAGGCCCCAGTGGCAGGGTTCGCATGCCGCCCCCACCTCACTTTGGCACACCCCTCACGCGTTTCGTGGCCCCATAGGTAGCTCCACCGAAGGCCCCAGTGGCAGGGTTCGCATGCCGCCCCCGCCCCACTTTGGCACACCCCTCACACGTTTCGTGGCCTCATAGGGAGCTCCACCGAAGGCCCCAGTGGCAGGGTTCGCATGCCGCCCCCATCTCACTTTGGCACACCCCTCACACGTTTCGTGGCCCCATAGGGAGCTCCACCGACGGCCCCAGTGGCAGGGTTCGCATGCCGCCCCCACCCCACTTTGGCACACCCCTCACGCATTTCGTGGCCCCATAGGGTGCTCTACCGAAGGCCCCCGTGGCAGGGTTCGCATGCCGCCCCCACCCACTTTTGCACACCCCTCACACGTTTCGTGGCCCCATTGGGAGTTCCACCGACGGCCCCAGTGGCAGGGTTCGCATGCGTCCGCGCCACCCATGTCGACACACCCTTGACACGTTTCGTGGCCCCATAATGAGCTCCACCGAAGGCCCCAGTGGCAGAGTTGGCATGCCGCCCCTCGCCCATTTCGGCCCACCCCTCACACGTTTCGTGGCCCCATAGGGAGCTCCACCGAAGGGGCCCCAGTGGTTGCGTTCGCATGCGTCCCCACCACCCATTTCGGCACACCCCTCATACGTTTCGTGGCCCCATAGGGAGCTCCACCGAAGGCCCCCAGTGGCTCCCCACCACCCATTTCGGCACACCCCTCACACGTTTCGTGGCCCCATAGGGAGCTCCACCGAAGGCCCCAGTGGCTGCGTTCGCATGCCTCCCCACCACCCATTTCGGCACACCCCTCACACGTTTCGTGGCCCCATAGGGAGCTCCACCGAAGGCCCCAGTGGCAGGGTCCGCATGCCTCCCCACCACCCATTTCGGCACACCCTTCACACGTTTCGTGGCCCCATAGGGAGCTCCACCGAAGGCCCCAGTGGCGCGGTGCCTATGAGAAGAGGGGCCTAGTTTGCGTGCCCCCTCCTTCGTCTCATATCCGTGCGGTACTCGCAGCTGCATATGGCTGGGTCCTTCGCCAGGCTAAGTTTCATCCCTGCCGCGTCGCACCCGCGACCCTCACTCCTCCTTCTCCTTCTCACACAGCGCAGCACAGTTCAGCACAGCACAGCTTAGCTCAGCATAACACAGCTCAGCACAGCACTGCACAGCACAGCATAGCACCTCAGCACAGCACAGCTCAGCTCAGCACAGCACGACACAGCACAGCACGACGGTCGTGTAGGACACAGCAGGCGTGTGGATTTGTCGACACCATAGGGTGTGCGCAGGGGATGGTCCCCGAGCACGGCGTCTATGCGGGCCATGGCGCAGGGCATAGCAGGCGTGGCATTTTCTCGACACCATAGGGGTGCGCAGGGGGTGGTCCCCGAGCGCGGCGTCTATGCGGGCCATGGCGCAGGGCATAGCAGGCGTGGCACCTTCTCGACAGCATAGGGGGTGCGCAGGGGGTCGTCCCCGAGCGAGGCGTCCATGCGGGCCATGGCGCGGGGCATCGCAGGCGTGGCACTTTCTCGACACGTGCGCAGGGGGTGGTTCCCGAGCGAGGCGTCCATGCGGGCCATGGCGTAGGGCAGATCAGGCGTGAGCTTTCTCGAC